TACCACATCTTCTCATAAACATTAATAACTATGTAAAATATTAACATTTAAAATTGACAAAAAGTCAACATAGTTACTGTTCCAGACTTATAATGCAGTTCTTCAGCTGCGCGGCACATGCCCATACCCGTGTTATAATTGACAGGTGCAAAAGTAAGCGATAATTTAAATTAGTCCTGGCAAATTAGGAAGAGTTAATTTATCCCAAAAGTCAATACTACTTTTAAAAAGTCACTCAATGTTTATTAAACTTAATATTATCACGGCTTTGTTTGTGTATTTAGTTTTTAACACCTTACAAGTATTTCTTAACATATAACCTATCATTGAACTTTATTGCAAAACCTGCAGTTTTGATGTCCTTGAAATGTAGTGAGGACTTAGTTTAATAAATAATTTCAAACAAATACGGACATTCATAACCACAAACCTAAAGTTTAACACAAGGATTTATTTAGTCCATGCAAAAGAGATAGCTCCAATGTATCCAAAGATCCTGAAAAATCAATAACAATTAAAAAAAACATTAAATATTTATAATTTTTTTCATAATTACAGCTTAATGTGTGTACTTACAGGTTTTAACAACCTAGCGATGTATTTCTTATCATATAACCAAACATCTAAAGAATGCAGAAAATGCAGTTTTGATTTATTTGACAAAAGAATATGGATATTCATAACCAAAACCAAAATGCTCTCGGAAGTAAACCTATTTATTGTCTTTCAGACCAAATTAAATACATTTGCATTACCGATGTCCCTCTGTGCAAAAAAATGATCATAATTTGTAAAACTGTTTCAAAATTGCTTTCAATATCAATGTGTAGAGCTGAACAAACACACACACACACACACACACACGAAAAAAAAACTTGTATATCTTAATATAATGATGTCTATGTTACTTGTGTATTTGAAACTGTGAATCATATTTAAAGTGTACAATGTATTCCTAAACTCTGTTCATTTAAACTTGCAATACGTTTCAACAATTTTATTATTTTAAACCATGAGTGAAACTCAACGGTATTTTTTGTAAGGGCGGACGCCGGTTGCTAGTATGAAAAATACACGATTTCTTATTGTGCTAGTAATTTTCCTATATTTTGGAATGACGTTATTTTTTTAATTGTGGATGATGACTAAACAACATCGGTGACCCCAATTTTTTTTTTTTTTTTTTTTCGCTAAAAATTTCGTAATGCGGATAATCTGTCTCTACATAAGTTATGGAGTTGAACTTAAGAATTGTTTCTCCTTGTTCACATTAAAAAGCATTAGGTGAACTATCTTGGTAACAAGTCTGAGTTGTTATTTCTTTTATCATTGGTAGTGATTTTTATCCGTTTGACTTTTTCATGCATTGTATACAAATTACTACTCTCTCTCTGTGTTATTCAAGCGTTTGGTCATTTTATTTATCTTCATATATTGTTATATCAGTGGCTGTCTTTTCGTCGTTTTTTTTTTTATTACATTGTCAGTTTGTCATCTCCTCTTCATATCCAATATAAGAGTTGTTCACTATTGAAAGTCGGGAAATAACAATAGCAAACTCATGTCAAGGAGGGGCATTTTATAAGTTAGACTAACTAGGGAGTAACTGCATTCGCCAATCGACTCAAATACCCGTCTTGAACATGGGGTGTTTGTATTGATACCAAGATGTCGTTAAATGAGTTTTGATATCATGCATTCATCATACTTTTCAATAACATATGGTCAAATCGCTGAAACACTCCATCCTAAATTATTGCAAACTATCATTCTGCATTGACAATGATATCTTGCATAAAGACGATCGGTAATATATAAATGCACTTATAATTTGACAACAAATGGCAGTTTCAAGACTTGGTTTTAATTCGTTTTAAAATGAGATACTATGTTGTTTTAAAACGTTAGACAAGCAAACTGCAGCTCAAAATCTAAATCAACATGGTTTAAATTGTATTTCTCTGTTTTATTTTATCTAAAGATAGAGTTATTTCTCATTGTCCACAGATAACCGTTTCATATGTCTGTATAAAAAAACATTAAACCGTGAAATACCTTGGCAGCTAGTGTGAGTTGTTTTTCTTTTAGCATTGAAATCATGAGGGTTTTTACCGTTTAGAATATGTCATACATAATGATTGCTATGCTTGATAAACGACTCTCTCTCTCTCTCTCTCTCTCTCTCTCTCTCTCTCTCTCTCTCTCTCTGTGAGTGTATATGTTATAGTATCACAAGCATGTGTGTTGAACTACACATTCGTGAAGATATAATAATTATTATTATAATTATACAAGATTTTAATAAAGCGCGTTATCTGATAAAATTTACTCTTAGCACTTCACTAAAACAAAATAATCATCTCAAATAATAAACTAAAATATGGTACAAAAGTCAAAATAAAAGTGGAAGATGAAATAACGAAGAGTTGTCACGTTCTTCTAAAAATCCTTAAGTTTCTGTTCATCCCGCATGTTGCAAGGCATGCTGTTGCATATAAAGCGACGTACGGCCAGTTTGAAAATTTATGTTTATCTGCGATTCAGTGATAAATGCTTACTCATTATATACAAACCTATCTCTAGATGCATTGTTCTTTTGTACTTTTTATATTTTCAATAATTATATCTTTCCACAATTATTGAATTATGTTTGATATGTTCAATAGCATATGCCAAAACGTTGTGACTAGCTGATTATTTGTTACTCAATGGATATTCTTTCAATGACGTTAAGTTATTTTTACCGTGAAATGCGAAACAATGCATATACCCTTAATCGTTTAGGGTACTTATACCGACCATTAGTTTAATACCAGCTGTGGTTACCCTTAGCTGCTTTTCAGTATATGAGTGTATTCTGATATCTGACAAATCTAAATTGTGTTTCTTACCAGGCGACTGACCGTTACCCATAAAGCTAAATGCAGGGCATTCATGTTTTACTGATTTAGTTGTTTTGATGAAAAAATAAGTTATAGAGGGTAATGCGGACTGTGTGTACATGTTTTTAAAGGGGAACAATATATGCCCTCTTTTTGTTGATAAATAAAAATGTTAGCAACTATAGGTCATCGTTGCCCTTCAACAATGAACAACACCCATACCGTATTGTTAGTTTCAGAGATCCCGAAACCTGATTTTAGATAATTGTTATCGAATAATCAACAAAGAAACATGAATTTTATTGCAAAATTTCTCATCTTTATATAGAATTTTTATCACGACATTTACGACACATTACTTGTCCTCAGAATAACAGTAATTGGAAGGGGGGGGGCTAACTTTACTGCAACTAATTAAAATAATAACGTTTAACGTTTTCCTGAGCCATAACATTCATCAGCTGTATCTTTGTTGTATTCATATTACACCATATATTTTAGTAGGGTTTCTGGTGAAAGGAAATCAAGAAATGCACTGCAGATGCGTCAACTTTTTAAAGTGTTATTTTCATCTTTCGTCAGTTGGTTTTCCATATATTGTAAGAATCTTTAAAACCGCATAACACATTTAGAGTAAATTAGCGCAAATTGCTTACATGCATGTAAATAAATCTTAAAACAGATACAATCAGAAAGGAAAGAAAGGCTAAATATACAAAAGAGACATTTAAACTCATAAGTCGAAAATAAACAGACAATGCCATGGCAAAAAGTTGAAAACAAAGAGGTTGAAAAAAATGATTCGCTAAGTACATGTTACACATTATCCGAGCAAGTTATTGTTTTGTTTACTATTGTTTAAGGTGTTTTCGTTATTTAGAATGACTGGAAGGTGATAACATCCTTATTAACCGATTCGTCTCACCTTATAAGTCACTTTACGGCCTTCAAAAATGAGAAAAACGCAAATAATAGTCTGCTGAGAGAAGACCTCGAAATGTGAAATTGTGAATAAATTTAGATGAAAAAACCAACGGCCGGATTTTTTGACAAAAGGTTAACTGAAAAACAGGCAAAACGGATAGCAACTAACGACAACAACGGAATTACATGCACCTGACAAGGGACGACAGGCGCGTACCGAAAACGGCGGGGTGAAACATGTCTGCGAGTGTCCAACATACCATCCTAACATGGGACAGTGGTGTAACTGCACAACATTATAACAGATCACAAATCGGTTGAAAATTGCATGACTCATTACATTTGCACATATCACGAAAAACAACTATCATAAAGACAAAAAATCACACTGAATGGAATTTGGAGTACTCGCAGTTCCCGAAACCAAGTTAAATCCAAAATCAACTAACACATACATCATGTTATCCCAGACTAAAGTAGCAATCGGTACATATCCAACGGATTAAGTGTAATGAAAAAATAAACTATCAGACTGAACTCATTTTTATGGATCATGGATCATTGATTATTATCAGATTTTCGAAGTATTTCAGCCTGATCACTCTCGTTTTCCATTGATGTTTTATTACTTTTATTAGAAAGGAGAAGGTAAAGTTGTCTACAGTTACCATTGTCTTTGGGAGAGAGAAATCTATTTTTTTTTAAATGACGGTTATGACAGTCCTCCAGTAAGAAACGATGTAATTGAATTTTAGGGTTGTTTTTTTTTTTTTTGGCAAACGCTTGTTTTTGTTTTAAATCATAATAAACGAGTACAGTGGATCCTAATTTTGGGGATTTGAATGTTGATAAGAACTACACAGGCCTCTTTTTTGCGCTACAATGTTTCCTGTGGTTTTTTGCAAGATTTCGAACACAAATTAAATAAAATAACACTGGAAATTACTAATATATGAATTGTTATGCTTGTCTTATGTATGATTATCTGTGTTTCTGTGTTTCTGTCTTTCTTATTTCGCTTTTGTCTGTCTGTCTCTTTCTTTGTATCATTTTTCTTATGTTATTTTAATTCAGTCTTTTTCCTAATAGGACGGGTTGTTTTGCTCTCTCTCTCTCTCTCTCTCTCTCTCTCTCTCTCTCTCTCTCTCTCTCTTTCTTTTCTCTCTATCGTTCAAAATTTATGAAACTTTATAATTTTCAATGATAGTATATTTATTCAGTATAAAATTATAAGAAATATACCATACAATAATATTTTAAATACCATTTCTATAACACCTAAACAGCATGGCTATCAAACATGTATATTCTATCAACTGAAGCAAGCAATAGATCGTCTTTTTTAAATTCAACATCATGAAATATTACAAAAAGAAAAAAGAAACAATCGGCTAAATTTGTAGTGTTATTTAGGTAGCACAGTATGATTTAAATATCGTGAGAAAACGAGCGTCCTTTTGAAAATGCATGTACTATTACAGTGAATATAGAAACAATTGGCTAATTTTGAAGCGTTATCAACGTAATTCCGATAATTTAAATATTGCAATGTCCTTTAAATATTCAACACTTTTTAACAAACAATCGATTGGATGAGTACTTAATAGTGTTCTCTTAGCAGATTTATTAAGTACATTTGTACTAAGTAATTTGATTTCATACTTGTATTATCTGATGTAATCTGTAAGCTGATTAACACTGTAAAAAGGGTTTAAAAAGAGAACACATTGAGCACATGTCTAGACTTAGACCTGTTTAGGATTGTGGTCTAAATTTGACTCGTCCTAAATATGCCTGACATAATGGATATTGAGCAGGCAACCATCAACAAATAAATCTCATCTAAATCATTTCAATTTCAGTTCTATTACATTAAGATAAACATAAATATTACATGTATAAGCTAACCATAATGCTCGTTAGCATGTGTAGGTTTGGGTGGGACATAATAAGCAGATGTTTTTTTTCTCTGTTAAATCTATACTACTAAAGGAAGAGACCGATTTCATTGAGCCGCAACTCCTCTGAAACCATACAAAGTCGGAAATATTTGTGATATGACGTATAAATATAGTGCTTTGTACTTCCTAAATTTGTCTTTGAAACAATCATTTTTCCACAGAAAACACCAATTTTTGAGAAAATATCTAATTTCGGAGATCCTTATCGACCAGTGTCATATACGCTTTCGCGCATGCTCAGTCGACGTACTGCCCGCGAAATTTAAAATCTCTTTGTTTCAACCCTTGCCCAATTGTACCGCGATTTCGCGGGCATCTTCTAGTGTTTATAATATGAAATACTTCTAGAAATCATTCTATCTAAAAATAAGAAGATGTGTTGCAATTGCCTATGAGACAACTCTCCATCAGAGATCAAATGACGTAGAAGTTTGAAACTATGGATCATTATACAGTAGATCATCCCTTCATCAGAGTTTCCAAAATACGAACACAGCATCACGACACAACCAGAAAGACTAAACAATTAACATCTTCACTGTAACATCGATTAAATTCGGCTAAATATCACCAATATATTTATCCCCTTCACATGAAGTCAGGCACACCAAAAAGGTAATTTCCCTTAGATGATCGATCGTTGGAAACAAAATATTCCATCCACAGTGCCTCAAATTCTGGTTTAGTAATATTTTTACCCTGAAATGAACAAAATGATATTTTTTTTAAACATAGTCGTTTTATAGAATTTAGTTGTATTCAAATCTTGATGTTACATTACTTTAGTTCCGACTAAGTCCGTTTTTTTCGTGTCCGATTTCATTCATACACAAACAAACAATTTGACACGTTATACCGTCAAAAATAAATGCAATGTTTAGATCAAAACAACGTCTTTCGTATTATCTGAGTGAGGGGTGATAATACAGTAGTGTGATTGAATATTAAGTGGAAATCCGATGCAAAGTTGTTTCCAAATCATACCGCGACAAATTGTAATGTGTTTCATTTCCGTGGCACTCTTTAAAATAGCTTTGGTGGTCTCTTTGTAGCGTGATCGCCTTACAAGCGGGAGGTCCAGGGTTTGATCCTTAAAGATGGTATGTCCAACATCTCCGCACGAGGCATTAAGGAATAAGAGCAAAGACTTGTAGGGTGGGAGTCGGAATAACCATTTTCGTGCTGGCACGTTAAATATCCGGCTATGTGTATCGATATAGTAAAAAGCACGGTACATTCAACATTCAACATTTTCCTGTTCTGGTGCTGCATATGCATGTAATAGTAGCTGTTGGACTTAAGTTTTTCTTACCCTTCCGGAGCATCTGAGATAATTGACAGTTTTTGTTGGGGTTGGTGTCACTCAATCTTTAATTTTCTTTGTAGTGTTTTGTGGACTTGTTTGTCGTTTTTTTTTTTTTTTTTTTTCTTTCTTTTTTTATGCCATGGCGTTTTCAGTTTCTTTTTGATTTATGAGTTTAGAATATCTACGCGGTATCGTTCCTCATTTTGTTAACATTGAACGTTTTATTTTATTAGTTCTGTTGTTATCTTCGTAAAAGATACATTTAAGTACATAAAAAGTCTGCATGGCAGTTGTTGGTATCTTATTTGAATTGTTGCATACTTACGCCGGATATTTTCTTAAAGGCAGTGCTACAATTTTCTTTGCTAATACCATATGCTTGATAAACCGTGCTAAATTCATTCTCATCTATTTCATTGTCACCTAAAATAGAAATAATCATAGTAGTATAAGCATGTTTTTTTTTTCTTCGGGATATAACATTTATATACTATTGCTTAATTTTCGGAACCTTTAAATCAATTTAGTTGAATTGTATCATCTACACTGTAAAAAATGAGAAGGTGCCAATGAAGAATTACAAACTCATCGAAAGATCACAGACAATGACGCTATTAAAAGAAGAAAATACGAAATCGTGGGTTGCTAAGGGGCAATAATAGGTTGTGCATGGAGTTAATCAATGCGTACCATGAACGACCGCGTAGACACACGTCAGATTTTTTTTACAAACGTTGGACAAGGCATATATAGTAGCATATGTTAGTTGATTTATATGAATAAAATTATTTTTTTACGTTTCAGTTATTTCTTACAATAAAAGCCGACATCAATTCACGTAGCTCTTAAGTTCATATGAAATATATATCAAGAGAAAAAGACAAATGAAATTGCATAAACTACAAAGTGAACGAGACCCGGACCTTAAAATACTGTAAACCGGGAAATTTTCGCGCCATCTTTTTTTCGCGATTTACCAACAAAATCTAGATTCGCGCAGTTTTGAATTCGCGATGTCCAGGTCGGTGTCCTATATAAGTTTTTATCATAAATGATTTGGAAACTGCACAGTGTTAATAAATGTATTTAAATCAAGTGATAAAACCAATCAAAATTTTATCGGTTCACATTTGAAACTATTAGTCATGTTTGCTTGTAAAAACACAATCACAATAAACAAAGAGGAATGACCTAATTAAGAGTGAATTAAATGCTGACAGAATTACTGCTTATTAGTTAATATTTTAATCTGATTGATCTGTGCAACAGATACAATTGGTAATCATTCTATAACTGAGGTGTCATTTACATAACTGTAACGATAGTTGTTATTTTTGCAATATCCGTAATGTCCACTTTGATTAATTAGGATTATCATGAGATAAAGTTTTGATATCTAACACTGACTTTCCTTTAGAAATAAAGTTTTATGTTTTGCGTAATAGATCTGTCGTCTGTAAAACCGATATTTTAAATTAGCCATCTACATATCCTAATGACATACGTTCATGTATGGTCTTCATATTCGTGTTCGGATTTCCTTGAAATATTCGCGGTCGTTTTATTTTCGCGTTTCAACTCTTACCGCGAAAATAGCGAAAATAATACTGCCGCAAAAATTTCCCTGTTTACAGTATACGATACCTGTGATTTTTTTTTCTAAAAGTTTTATTTTTAAATAGAAATACGAAACGAAATAAAAAATAAATTCACCCTTGCTGCAAAAATAAACACATGAGATGCATAGTCACACCTAAGTACCGGTTATAACCGTTCTGATGACCATGGCAATACAATAGATTTTGCTTACAACAAATTTAAATCTGTGTTACCTGTTGCATCTGCAGTATCGACTCACCGTTTCAAAATTTTAAGCAATCTGGGTAATTTTTTCCAAAGCGTACACCAAAACGTTGTGATTGGTTAAAATTGCCATAAACTTTTGAAATGTAACCAATCATTTGGAGATACGGACAATGAGAATACTCATAGTCTTTTAGATTCTGAAATGGCGAATAGACGGCGACACAATGTGATATTTACTACACTTTGTATTTTGATATTATGATGATAACATACCCGATTTGTCGTTGACTTTAAACATGAAATCTACAAATTTTTTCTGCCATTCCGGAAACTCTTTACCACTTTTAATGTCTTTAACACTTTCTGTCCACATTTTGAGCCATTCATCCTCCGATACCTTATCATCCTGTGTAAACAAATAGCATAACAAACTAATCATTGATACTAGGATTAAAAATGTGTACGCCAGACGCGCGTCTCGTCCACAAAAGACTCACCAGTGATGTTCGAATAAAAAAAAAATAAAAAAGCCAAATAAAGTACCAAGTTGAAGAGCATTGATGACACAGATTCCGGATATGTTTACCAAATACAGTTAAGGTAATATATTCCTGCAGTATTTCAAGAAATTCAAAGTTTTGCTAACAGTTAATCTATAATTATGGCCATGTCAATGATAATTCATGTCAACACAGAAATGCTGACTATACTGGATTGGTGATAACTGTTAAAATATAGAAAGCTAATAATATGCATGTATATTCTATAATTGTTTCCGTTAAGGTCATCTTTGCGGTTACATAACTGTGTGTTCACATACAATCGTATACCTATAATGGTTTACTTTTACAAATTGTGACTTGGATGGAGAGTTGTCTCATTGGCACTCTACCATATATTCTTATATCTATGTATTGTCGAGTTGGGTTGTTTCCTTATTGGCGTATAACAATTTTTTTCTTCAAATTCATATTTTGTAAAACCAATTTTTTTTTATCAAGTTTGGAATCTGTTGTCAGAAAAACATTCTACATGCATTAGATGACGTGTCATTTCCTTATGCAGTCAGCGAGGATAACATTAATTAAAACATAATTATTAAATTTAAGATACTTAGAAAAGGGAAATGAATTAATGAAACAAATGTGAATGAAGCCATTACTTTCTATCGTTCACGCTTTACTAGAAATATCCCTTAATATTTAACGTCCCTTCAAAACTTTTACCTAATGTATGTATGTTGTCATATGAAAAATTGTTAATATTTATCTGATCTGTAAACCCCGTCCAGACCCTCATATAATGTCCGGAAAAAGTTGTGTTTTTCATTATTCTGAGAGCAATCAAAACAAACACTTTCAAATAGTCCAGAAAGTGTTTTAATGTTTGTAAAATTAGGAATTATAGGAAGAATTATGACCTTTGATCCTATATATGGTTGGTTGTTCTAAATAATTATTTGTTTCAAAATACAAACAGTATATTCTGTATGTATAGCTGTTTGCTAGAAAACATTTTTGATCAAAAACCATCTTTAGATTAAAAAAAATGGTGTTAACCATGCATTAACTGTATGCATTTTTAGTTTATAACGGGATGTGGTTCGTTTGTATGTTATTCTTCATGACTATCTAGAAGGTTTAACATTTAATTAGAAAATACATCAAATCAAACACGCCCTAATGGTTTTAAAAATTATTTAAATACATTTAACATGTAAAGTTTTCGTACGAAATGATGACTTTTTTAACTGCATTATGTTTGATTACATAACTGTCTCCTAAATTATTCAGATGAAGGATTAAAATTATTCAAATATGACTCATGTTGTCAACATTGATTAAAATTCAGTGTCTTTATCAAATGACGTGTTTATTCAGCCTTGAAATTTAAGTGCAACCAAAATATCAAATATAATATATGAACTCAATATATTCAACATGAACTCAAATAACGATTAATTCACAACACGAACAGTGACTTTTTTTGTGTAAAAATGTAGTATTTGCGTTTAATACATTATCTGATAATAAAAGATTTATATATATTTTAAAACGCCATCGGTGGAATAATATCGCTAAAATAAGAAAGCTTTGTTATATAGTTGACATTTTGATATAGCAGGAAAGATCAATTTCATGAACAGCATGCCATTAATTCTATCACAGTATGCTTAACCACCACGCAATTGATTTGTCATGTCAGGCGTATACATTAACTCCGAACCGGAAAAACAATTTTTATTAAATCTTCCTGGAGATTCTGGTGCTTATTCGGTTGTAAAATAAATGTCGTTGTACGTCAACTTGCATGACTACCCTGACGAATGATTGAAAGCAAATATAGAATATGATAAAAAAAAATCAGTGTTTAAATCAGAAAGAGGAAAGTTACAACATTCAACTTGTAAACAATAGATTAACATGGTAGCGTGAAATGTCAAAATATTTATAAAGTGAACTGTATGTTTTCATAATTCACACAATTTTCACATTTTGAGAATCACCTCCATGCGATAATCAAAAGTTAATTTGTTATTAAGGTTTTTACACATTGTCAAAGGTTACCCCTTATATATGAAGCATTATTTCTTTCCTTTTTTTCTTCATCGATGAAATACAAGTTGCTTTCGAGACAAAACAGATTTTGACATTAAGTCTAAATTCATTTGCTATTTTATACGATATATAACAAACTGAAATGCATATAAAAATAAGGAGATGAGGTATGATTGCCAATGAGACAACTATCCACCAAAGTTCAAATAACATGGATGTAAGCAATTATAGGCAACCGTACGGCCTTCAACAATGAGAAAAACCCATGTCGTATAGTCGGCTATAAAAGGCACCGACATGAAAAATATGAAACAGTTCAATTGAGAAAACTAACGTCCTAATTTATAACAAAACAATTAACGAAAAACAAATATGATAGACATGAACCAACGACAACCACTGAACTACAGGATCCTCACTTGGGACAGGCACATTAAGAATGTGGCAGGGTCAGACATGTTTGTGAGCGCTCAACGCTCCCCCTAACCTGGGACAGTAGTGTAACAGCACAACATAAGAACATGCAGTTTTCTCAAAAATAATTTTGACAGTTTATTTCGAGTAATATGCAATACATGCTGTTTGCTAAAAAATATTTTTGACATTTTTTCTTTATTCATTTTTTATTCTATATATCTATATATAACAATCTGAGATAATCATTATACCTGGTTTTCATCAGCATATTTTTTCAAACCTTCCCATATCAAATTCAATGTTTCCTCTGCCTCAGAATATTCCTTGCCACCTTTTGTCCAGTCTAATATCTTACATACTTTCTGATGATAAAAATATCTTTGTTTACATATCAAAATAAGAACTTTTTTTTTCTCTGAAAAAACATTCTCAAAATAAATTAACGTAATTATATAGCAATGTCAATGTTATCAAGTAGATGGTTTAGGGATCGATTCTGTTGTTGATTTGCATTTGGACTTTTTATCTCAACCACTTAAAAGTTGTAAAAATTGCAAAAATATATTCTAATTCGCATTTCCTGCAGGTAAAACTTGCAAATCCCATTTACCGGAATTGTCAAAGTAAATACAAATATCAGTAGTTTTGACCTGTTCTTAATTTCACGTTTTTGAAACATCACTATGCGATACACGAATAGCTGTACACCGTAGTCTTTTCCGTCACATAAGATGGGTTTGTGAACAATCTTCCAAGGTTACCATCGGCGCACTGCAGTCCTTTACATCTGTATTAACATATTATACGTTTTCAGGAGGTTCGAAGTGTCATGTTAGGATATTTTACAATTTTCTGTAATTGTGTGCGTATGTGTGTGTTGGAGTGTATTTTCATTTTTTTTTTTTTTTTTTTTATTTTCTCTTTATGTGAAGTATTGTTTGTCCGTCTTCAAATTAACATACATGAACTAATAATGGCAAACAGAAAACTGTGAATTCAAATACAATTCAATTTTGCGCTGAACTAAACTGAACCATGCCACCCTGCTTCACTTGATACTTCCACCGTATTAGTAGTCAATCTAAAATCATGCACGAGGGGCTGATAACGACATCTATATTTACCACAAACAGAACATATTCGTTGTCATTTTTTTCAGTGCTTTGCATAAAGGTCAACAAAATTATGATGATGAACGTATAATTTTAGAAGCGATGGCTTCAACATAAACAATGCGTTTCCTCACTACTTCCATACTACATTTATAGGCGATCCGTATCTGATCATCCGTATATAATTTGTTTCCTCTAACGTGCAGTGTCCTGGATTCTATAAATTATTCAAGCCTTATCAATCATAGCCGCATCATTAAGCAACCAATTAGAAGTTACTTTTGAAATTAATAATTTCAAGATGGCTTGTATATCGCCTACAACTAATAGCTTTGCATCGAGATGCAAACAACGAGATGTGAAGCAATAACTGAATGTTTCCTCAAAACACTGGTGCGAAAAATTTCTTTGGTTTTCGTGGTTAATATCTTGCTGCATTAATTGTTTATTAAGAAATCATATGTTTATCACAAACCTATGGCAGTTTCTGGGAAATCATTCACCTCTAGTTAAGATTTCAAACGATTGAAAACTTGACATATGGGGTAAGCACTTTCCTATTCAAGGCCGTTTGTGACTAAAGAGGTTATCTTCGTAAGATAAAAGAATAAATAAATAAAATCATGAATTCCTTTCGAGATGTTCAAAAATGCAAAATCTTTCGTTATACTTCGTTTCATTTCGTTGTTGTCTCGATTGCGACGAAAATCGTAGAAAGCAAGATATAGGTATTGCTTTTCCGGCGGTGACGGCGAAGGATGCGTCAACAATTGTTAAGTTTTCTGCTTAAGTTAGTTTGATGGTAACTACGTGTGATATATCAATGATATTTTGTATAAAGTTGCATTACTATCAGTACATATCAGTTTGACAGCTATTTTGAGGCACTGCTCCCAATATCAAGGTCCAGTGACTTTCAATTAATAAACAGTTTTCAATGTTAAGTTTTCTGCTTAAGTTAGTTTGATAGAAACTACTTGTGTTAGCTCAATGATTTTTTTACAAAGTTGCATAATTATTAGTTCATATCAATTGGACGGCTATTTCGAGGCCCTGCTCTCTAGGTCCCGGTCCAGTGACTTTCAATTAATAAGCAATGTTCAATATTAATTTTTCTGCTTAAGTTAGTTCATTTGGAAATATTTGTGATAGATCAATGATATTTTCTATAAAGTTGCATTACTATCAGTACACATCAGTTTGAAGACTGTTTCGAGGCCCTGCCCCCTATATCACGGTTCAGTGACTTTGAAATATTGCTGTCTATCATACTCTTTTTTTCAAATTTTCTGCCGATAGGCGAGATATATCTCTGTGTCAACAGTTTATTTTTAAACATTTCATTTCTCTTTCGTTTTTTTCATTTTAATGAAATCTAAAACTACATATACATATTTATCATAGAATCGTATTGTACTTGTCTAATAATATAACCTATATTTTCGTTTGTCATATTTGTAGAGGTTCTTCCTTAAATGTAATATTACAAACCTCAACAGCAAGTCCAAAATCTTCTTTCTTTATCATCCCATCTTGATTTGTATCTGTAATGAAAAATGAAAATAACAGTAATTGAAATAAGATCTTATGTTAAATTTAGCAAACCTCTCTGATATTAATATTCATGTAACGTCAGTAGAGAATAATAATACTATTTGATCGGTTAGATCAACTCATAGTTAAATATTAAAACTAAAACAGCAGTAGAGGGAAAAAAAGCATAAGAAAAACTTGTATAAATTGCAACCAATTGTAGGTCATTTTAGTTCATTTAACCTATTTAACATTTACTTTATTTTGGCATATACTTCCAACCATTTCCGTTTTATTTTGCTAGCAGTTTACACACCGGTAAACATGCTAAACATTTCGTCCGGTATCATGTCAAGTTACATAATTAATATAAGAGACTTTATTTTTATCTTTCCGGCATTACTTGCAGTAAACAGCAAATTTGGTAAATTCTTTTAAGTGCACAGTTAACTACTCAAATGTTTCCAGTAAACAGGACAACAAGGGAAATTATGTTTATTTTCGTACATAGTAACTGAGTCAAATATGGTACGTCTAAAGTACCAAATACAATCTTCTCACTTTGCACAGTTGCTGATGTAAAGTAGAACGGATATAACTGCAAGATAACAGCAGTACGTATAAACATAGTCTGTACGTAACTAAAAAATCTTGGTTTTTATTTTAAAAATGATTCATTGTTTACTTCGTGAAGAAACAAATTACTATAAACAATTACAACCAATATGGTTTCTTTTTATAGTTATAAAACATTTTTATTATAAAATGCGTAGCGGGATACGCTTGCAGTCGACTCTCCAAGTCTCGCTAATATTTGACTTTATGCGATTTCCTCAATTTTGTTTTGTTGCATTGCAAAGGTATTGTTTCATTACCTTTATAAAGCGTTATTTCGTTACCTTTATAAACTGATATTTAAATTCAGTTGTTATTTCTAAATCGGTTTATAAGGTTTGACAATCTGTAAACTACTGTTTTCTAAATAGGGTAAAATAATGCAATACACATCTTCTTGATTTTGTTCTTATAAAATTGAGAATGGAAATGGGGAATGTGTCAAAGAGACAACAACCCGACCACAGAACAGACAACAGCAGAAGGCCACCAACAGGTCTTCAATGCAGCGAGAAATTCCCGCACCCGGAGGCGTCCTTCAGCTGGCCCCTAAACAAATATATATACTAGTTCAGTGATAATAAACGCCATACTAAACTCCAAATTGTACACAAGAAACTAAAATTAAAAATAATACAAGACTAACAAAGGCTAGAGGCTTCTGACTTGGGACAGGCGCAACAATGCGGCGGGGTTAAACATGTTTATGAGATCTCAACCCTCCCCCTATACCTCTAGCCAATGTAGAAAAGTAAACGCATAACAATACGCATATTAAAATTCAGTTCAAGAGAAGTCCGAGTCTGATGTCAGAAGAGGTAACCAAAGAAAATAAACAAAATGACAATAATACATAAATAACAACAGACTACTAGCAGTTAACTGACATGCCAGCTCCAGACTTCAATTAAACTGATTGAAAGATTATGTCTTCATCATATGAATATCAGGCACAATCCTTCCCGTTAGGGGTTTAGTATCATACCATAATAACATATATGAGAAGAACATAACCCGTGTCATGCCAACAACTGGTTTTTAAATAAATGTGTTTAGTGCCGATGCAAAGACCCTATAAGTGAATCAATATTAACGCCAAAATATGCAATCTTTAATGACCGAACAACAGTATCGTAACTATATCCCTTCTTAATAAGTCTATTTAAAGGTTTTGTTAGTTTCAGAGGTGAATACTTATATACATATATTACGCATGATAATGTATATTTCGAATGAAATACCTTATACATGAAGCGAATTATGCCGAATGTTCTTAACGTAATCTTGTTAAAAGAAAGATATTGGCAATGCTATACGAATAGCGGATCTCAAGCGTTCTTAAAGCAACCAATCCAGTTGCACTTCTTTCTCAAATTTTACATTACATTTTGTTAAATTAATTTTAAAAAATAGAAGGCCCTTTTTGACCCCTTAAATTAGTAAACTAAAAGTATTGTAAAATAGTTAAGTATCAACTTTCAGATCGTCACACTTCTTTGTTTCTGTCAGATATCATGTGTTTTATTGTTGAATTTTATATTAGATATTTGTTTTAATGATTCAACAATCTTATATTTTTTATTGTTTAACTACACAAACTGCCTAAATAGCCTCATTTTAGATCTTGTTATAAATACTTAAATATAAGTCTAGGCTTACACAAACAAAAGTTGTTCTAATTTCATCCTTATTTTGTGTGAAATAGTTATAGTTTGTCAAATTTTAATATATTCATTACGTCATATTCACATCCCAAATTATAAATTTTGAATTGTGAAGATTGATTGATCTTTTAATTTTTCAGTCAAGGTAACATCAATTTGAAAAAAATTGAAGGTATGATTACACTGCCTTTTTGGACCGTTAAATCAAAATTATGACGACCTACATGTATCAATAGCAGGTTTTAGATATTCCAAAGACATAAGTATGCCAGGTATCAATATCTATATTGTAGATTCAAGTAATTTGTGCCTTATAATTATTTGACGTTTTCAAAATGATTGCGTTAAACTCAAAATTAAAAAACAAACGCGAAAATAGCCTTCAAATGTCTTATCAAAAAGATATGTTGCAGATTTTAAAAGGATTAAAGAGTTACAATTTTGCAATTTAAGGGCCGGGTAATAGCTCTAAGCACGCCTTCTCCACGTAAACAAATATCTGACTATTGAACGAAAATCTGCTAGCAATGTGTAGTATATTCACAGACAACATTACTGACAAAATTGATTACATCACAATACTTTTTGCCAATAAGGACGTCATATTATTTCGAATTTCATAAATGTTTTGCTTGAATATAAAGTACTGAGTGTTCAGTTCTGAAAACATATCAAACACGAAAACCATTTTTGCTGATTTGGCTAGTCAGTCAGATATGCTTTTGCAAAGACTCTGAAGAGAAATAGGTTAAGCTGAAATTCAAGCAGAGAGTTAATTAAAAAAAGGGTATTGAAACAGATAAATACAAAGATAATTAATTTAAAGAGACTTGATAACGTGACTGTTTTTACAAATACTTAACTGTCATGACACACACTGATGCCCTGTCAAACCAACAAAACAAACAAATAAAAAAAAACAAATGACGCACTATTCAGAGTTTCCTATATTTTGTGAAATTTCAAAAACAACTTTCTTTTCAATTAAATGATTTTTTTTTTTAGACAATACAACAAGAAAGGATAACATCATATCTTAAGATGCACACACAAAACAAAGTCGGAAGTACAAAGAGAAAATTAGAACAATACTTAACATAACGCATTCATTCATTCAGTTGATGATTTTTGTATACGTCTTCAAATATATCGAATTGAGAGTAATTTTGTTTTTGTTATCCAATGGAGATAAACAAAATATATGAAAGTAAGAAGATTTGGTATGATTGACAATGAAGCAATTCTCCATCAAGGCGTGCATGTGAGCATCTATAGGTAACCGTACGGTCTTCAGCAAATCTCAGCAAGCTATAAAGGGCCCCGCAAAACAGAAATAAAACAATATTAACATGGAAACTGACAGCTTGATCTATTTCACAAAACAACAAATGAAAAACAAATTGATATGCAGCATCAAACGACAACAACTGAATTACAGGCGCCTGACTTGGGACAGGCACATGCAGAATGTTGCAGACTTAAACATGCTTGCGGGTGTCTTATCCTCTACCTAATTCGGGACAACGGTGTTACCGCATGATCATGACATAAGACGAAATTATGAAAGTCAGTTGAACAGGAGTTAACTCATCAGGATCGAATTAAACCACAAACACAACTAATATAACAAAAACATTTAACGCATAAAGTACAGATCTGATATTATTTGCTCTGACTGAAATTTTTTTTAATGTTTTATTTGTTTTCTGTTTTTAGTAGTCAGGATTTTACAATACTCTTACTTTAACATATTCAAAGCCAATAACACCTAATAAAAACTCATGTATCTAAGACTAAATATCAATCAGTACACAGCCAACATCCATGGATTTAGCGTTAAGTCGTCATTACAGTCCGAGAAGAACATGATCTGGTGCATGTACGTGTGTGTTATAAAGGTGTTCAACAATTCTAGATGTTAAATATAAAGTTAAAATTGTCTTAATCAAACATTCCTCAATTAAAACAAGGCAAGCAGTAAGGGCATCAAAGGAAAGAATATTGGTTCTTACTTTGTTAAGTATTCAGGACATTTAGTATCGATTTTAATGAGCATACGGTTTCTTCTTTTCTTAGTTCAATTCTGTTCTTAAGATTAACCATGTTTAAAATTAAGCAATTCAAAAGTCGTAAAGCAATAAAGCCTCTTTTTTTTTGTAAACAGTAATACATAAAATGCATAATTAAGTTATGTCAGAAATCTCGACCGAGGAAGTCGTAATCTACAGAACTTTCAAATGAAGACGTGTAGTTCTAAATTTAAAACGAATCAGTTTTGGATTAAATACTGACAATCAATGAGTGCATTAGTATTCATTGCTTTAATTAATTTCATTGAAATTCGAAGCATTCATTCGTTTGTCGGTGAATCGCATTAGGACTAATGATTATATGCAACTTGTCAAGCATTGGTGAATTGGAACTGCAGAGATTGCAAAAGGATTAACGATTTAGATGAAAGCAAGTAATCTGTTATTCCTGTGAGAACAATGATGTGCCAGATGTGAAAAATGAGAAAATAGTGAAAACCATCTTCTCTTTACACTAAATGACATTGATGTTAGATTTTTATCTTTTTATTGGTGTTATATAATAATTAACACTGACTGTCATAGCTGAGTCAAAGAGAAGATCAAAAAATGATGATGAATCAAATGACCTAAACTCGCTACATTTACAACAAAACGGAACAGCGTTTTTATCGCAGTTTTTCATCTCAAAATCATAAACTA